AAAAAACTCTAAGCAAATAAATCACGGGAAAAAGTAGGCCTAGTAAAAGATCAGTGGAACAAAAAAATAATAATGCGATCAACAGAAAGTGTGACAAAGTCGGAGGCATTTACAACTGAATTTACACCATATTATACTGTATTGCTCGAAAAGATATATCGTTATTTAAACGATTTGTGTCAACCAATTAAAATTCTGAGGCATTTACAACTGAATAGGTAATGGTAGAACAGTTGTTTGGATTTGCACCGTATTATACTGTATTGCCAGGGGCCAGGGACGTATCCAGTAGGGGGGGTGGAGCCGCGGCTCCCCACTTTGTACACAGTGTTAAAATTTTAAAGCTTATTCTTGAGCCAATACAAATTCTTTCCTGGGATCACTCAAAATGAATACTTCTAATCATGTAAATATGCATCAGTACACATTATACATAGGCCTAATAGAACACATAGGCCTAAGCGTGATTTAAAAAAATCTTAAATCCATAAATCTCAGGCCAGGTCTTTTAAGATAGAAATGCGATACTGTGGTTCAATTTCGTTTTTATCCTTTCCTTTTGCAAGTTTCTTTAAATGTTTGTTTAATAATACTACTACTAATAGTAATAATAATAATAATAATAACAATGATGATGATGACGATAGTAATAATTGATATTAATATTAATAACAATAAAAAGTGAAGAAAATTGTGCTAAATGCGTTTAAAAAGTTGTGATTTGTTGATCATAATATAGTATATATGTGGCAAAGACAAGCCAAACCAGTCACTCGTCGCAAAAATCGATTTTGAGTTATTAATACAGTGTTAGAGAGTAAAATAATAGCTATAAAATGGTAAAAAAAAATCATTCAAATCGGACATTACCTTATGAAGTTAAAAGCGTTTAACCATACAGCTGTTTAAAGAACAATATAAAAGAAATAGCCTTCAAAGTTTATGATTTCAGGCATTTCTCATTCAGAAACTATCTTTAAATCCTTAAAAAGTGTTGTTTTAACGTTGAAAATGAGGGAAATAACAGCATAGAATAATGTGTAGATATATAAAGGTTAGTTTAGTGCAATAAAATAGATTTAAAAAAAATTGACATTTCAGCATGTTTTGGCCATTTTCTCTGAAACACGATTTGCAACGAGTGACTGGTTTGGCTTGTCTTTGCCACATATAGTTAAAGCTTAGTAAGCTGTAATTAGGCCTAAGTTGTCCTGGATATTAAGTAGATCCCTGATAAAAGATCACGAGAAATTTGTTGGCGTTTCATTTTGACTATAATGGTAATGTGATGATGGTGAATTTTACTTTATAAAAGTGTCATTTCCGGCCATCTCGAGAGGTACTATTTCCTCAAATTTTCTTACCTCAGCCCCAGCCATGGTGGGGCTGAGGTGGTTGAATGTGAAATCACGTTTTTGAAGTAGCCCTATGTAAAGTACATACTCAAAGACAATGTTTTTAAGGTTTTTTTCTATGGTATATCACACACACATTAATAAGAATAAGATATCTATGGTTGTCAAAAATCCCTGATAAAAGCTCATGTTTGTTTAATAATACTACTACTAATAGTAATAATAATAACAATGATGATAATGACAATAGTAATAATTGATAATAATATTAATAGCAATAAAAAGTGAAGAAAATTGTGCTAAATGCGAAAAAAAGTTGTGATTTGTTGATCATACTAAAGTATATATAGTTAAAGCTTAGTAAGCTATAATTAGGCCTAAGTTGTCCTGGATATTAAGTAGATTCCTGATAAAAGATCATGAGAAATTTGTTGGGGTTTCATTTTGACTATAATGGTGATGTTATGATGATGAATTTTACTATATAAAAGTGTCATTTCCGGCCATCTCGAGAGGTACTATTTCCTCAAATTTTCTTACCTCAGCCCCAGCCATGGTGGGGCTGAGGTTGTTGTGAAATCACGTCCAGTACATACTCAAAGACAATGTTTCTAAGCTTTTTTTTCTATGGTATATCACACACACATTAATAAGATCTCTATGGTTGTCAAAAATAAAAGATGAGAATTTTTTTTTTTTTTTTTTGGTGCTTCTTTTTGACTAATTTTGATGTGATGATGATGAATGAAAAGTGTCATTTCTGGCCATCTAGAGGTACTATTTCCTCAAATTTTCTCACCTCAGCTCCAACCATGGTGGGGCTGAGGTGGGTGTCAACTCACAAAATGCCCTCCCCTCCACCTTTCAAAACAGATCTGTGCCCTTCCTTGGGTATGACATTAAACTCCATCGAGTCGGCTCCTGATCTATGTCTTAGTGACTGCTGTTAATTGTTTTTAGGATGTGATCTTTTCTTTGTGTCCATTTTTCGTGATTATGACTATTCTGGATGAAGAATGTTTTGAGCAGAGGTGGATTCCAGCCCCCCCCCCACTTCATTTTTTAAAGAAAAAAAATATATATTCAAATTGAAGTGCGAGAGTGTAATTTCCGGCCATCTACAGATGCCCTAATCATAAATTCTCTTACCTCAGCCCCAACCATGGTGGGGCTGAGGTGGGTGGTTCCTCGGTCTGTGAAAGTCCCTCCCTGGTTCACCCCACATTCAAATCCCTGGATCTGCCGTTGTTGATTTATTATATAATTATTTTTGCGCTTATTTATAATGCGTCTATTGCAATTTTCACTTTATCCTCTCAAACAGTCCTAAGAACGTTCAGAGTCCTAAGAACTTCACGGGGGGGATTCGCCACCTTGACCCCACCGGGGTCTTACATATTTCGCATAACGGCTCCCCCCCCCCCTTTCAAAATCCTGGCTACGTCCCTGCTATGCAAGAATATAGGAATGGTATTATTTAAACAGCTGTTAATTGGCAAGTAATTAATTAATAATATTGTTTAAGTATATATTTTGACAACTACTGTAGGCTCTCTTTAAACCTTGACTTGCTTTGAACCTGTGTTCATTTAAATCTGTGCTTACAGAGCTTGCTTTAATCCTGGGCTTTAAACCAACTACTGTAGCTGTAAACCTAAAGTGGTTACTTTAAACTACGGTAGGCAGAATTAAACATGGGCTTGCTTGTATAGCCACGCTTTGGAGGAAAAAATGTTGCTAAAGAGATACATGTTTTTGTATATTAAAGAACCGGGATAAAGGGTTGTTATGCCGCTAGAGTCTGGCTTTACATTTGAACTCACTTTAAACATAAGTTCTCTTTAAACCTTTTAAACCTGGGTGTAATTCATACCTAGACTATTTTGATGCCATGCCAAATTATCTAACCTTTTTGAAGTTCTTATACTTTTGTTCAAAATCAATAGCCTGACTAAGTCTCTCGAATGTTTCATTTAATGGTTACATGCTCTCACTAAGTTCTTTTTCTCTATGTAGCATTTGCCATGAACCTCTGCAACCAGAAATCTTAGCTGGAGTGTTTGCTGATAGAAAATGCTTGCGACGTGGAGCAGAAAACAAAAGAATAGTTGAGTGAAAGAGGGCCACGGTATTGTCATGATAAATGATGGAGCTAATCATTTTATTTTGATAATTGTGTTTTTCTTTTTTCAGTTTGCGCTCCCCTTTTTTCTGCCATTGTCTAGAATAGTCCCCTTAGGCTCATTTCAAGTACAAATTCCACTCCTTTGTTGGTACTCTTGTCACTTCATCCTTTTAGACACACGACTTGTATCAAAGCCGACATCAAACGACTTTACCGTTCTTTTAATCATTTCAACGTGGGCCTCTTGTACCTTAGGCTGAAATGTATCAAGAGGGGAGCATTTAGCATTTAGACAGTCGCTTAGTCAAAGCTATTTTTACAAACCCTGTCGGCAGATTTCATGTCAAACTATTCTGTATCAATTTGGTATGTCTGAATTAAGTACAAATAATCTGTGATCCATTTTTGTAAAGTCATTCCTGTCTTAGAACTTAAATCGATCAGGTGAATGTCCTTCCATTAGACTGTTACTACACTGTCTGATAGTTTCTCCAAGCACCTCTGCATTTGTATAGTACATCTTCTTTAAAGTCTTTATCCAACTTTATCCAACATTTTATTAATCCATCTATTCATAACCTTAGGCCCTAGGTAGCTCAGCTAAAATGGTCCTAATGCTGGGGTCTGGGTGCAGCTTATGTTTGGCAGGGCGCAGGTGGGGGTTTAGTAAATATTTAAATGTCTAGGTTACAGTAAATGATTATGGAGTAGTCGTCCAAAATTGCAGTTGAAAAGTTTTTCATCACACTTTATCTTCCTTCACCATATGAGGCTCAGGACCCAATGACAGGGTCTGGGGGCTGACTAGGGCCCTAGTGGGATCAAGTGGCAGGACCCAAGTGATGACCAGGTATCTAAATATCTAATACAGTAGATTACCTTAGACATCCCTATATGAAAGGGCATTTTTTATTGTTTTTTTTCACCCTAGAGTCCCAGGCCCCTATATTGTTATTATTGTTTATTCAGGCAAAAGATGCAATATACAAAATATGATACAAATCAATACATCAAACGAACATACTGTAACATTAACGAGTACATTGATTTTGAAAATCCATACTCATTAGTTGCCAGGAAAGCACAAAATCGGCCTAAACCATTGTCGCCAAATGTGTGTCCCTCCAACTAATGACTATAAGATAATACAAATAATATAAAATGACATAGAAACAGTAAACATAAATAACTAAGGCACTGCATTATTATATTAAGCCTATTTATACATGTTGATGCTAATAAAAACTGAAATAATAAATTAGTTATACATAATTACATTAGAAATAAGTACTTATACAATACAACAAACTATATATTTATGAAGCTAAATAAATTATTGAAGTTTACACATTTTTATAATTTATATAATAATATGTTAATAGCTTAAATATTAAATTAAATATACACAATTGAATTAGAAATAAATACTTATAATACATTATAAACAAGTTACATATTTATAAAACAAAAAGATAAATAAAATTATTTAATTTTACATTTTGTATTCGATGCTGGCCATAATTGTGTCTCCTTATAATTATAGTTTTACAAAATTGAAAAACAAATATGAGTAAACATATCTTAAGGATTAATGTAATGGGAAAGACCAAGAGGAAACAAGATAGTGATGATATATAATTTTAGGCTAAAGGCCTTATGCTGAAATGGAAAGAAGAGCAAGAAAGGGATGCCAGTGGAGACATTAGCAAACGAGGACCTCTGCCTGAAAGCTGAACACAAGAGTAGTCGGTTAGTATAACTGATACCTGAATTTATTTGGCATGGTGTACAAATATTTACATCATCATAATTATGATGCATTGTGTGAATAAATTGAAAATTGAAAACAATTAGAATAAAAATGTCTGATACCCAGTATATGGCCTACATGCAATTCCATTTTTTTTATATACTAACATAAATGGTGTAAGTGATAGAGTTGTTGACAGAGTTAGATGTATGATAATGTAATGGAACTTGAAATAATTGAATACATGTTACAGTAGATAACAATGGCTTAAGCTTAGTTGAGATACAAAATAAGCGAAAGCTAAAGTGCAAACACCCAGCAAGATAATGACCAGAGATTAAAGCAGAGTTTGCTGACAATACTGGTCCTGCGTCAGTAACAGTACAATGTAACAATTTTATTAGAATGTTTTGTGTTTGGAATTTTAAATTTGGCAATCACAGATTCTATTTCAGTCAATGAACTTTTCCCCACCTCAAAATACTGTAGGTATTTCCAAATTTTGACATATAGGATTTTTATTAGGGGTAAATCCAAATTACATTATATAAAATGCTCATTTTACCTGCAGAAGTAAAATGTTTCCACCTATAACAAAAATGGAACAGTCTTTTACCTTGTTAGCCAATCTGGTACCTTTAGAACTTGTGGTTAGGCCATTATTAGAGGTGTTCTTTATACTGTTTTGTAGAATGCTTGTTACGATATTAATGAGCCGTATCTCCCCATAGGAAATGGTGGATCCTGCCAATTGAAATGGTTTTACATGCTTGATTTGGCATTCAGTAGTATCTGGATATCCAAACGGTGTGGACTTACACATTTCCTTGTGAAAAAGGGTAAGCAAGGCATTTTGCATTATACTATGTAACTATACAGCAATAAGGGATGTACATAATTAGCAAAGATGTCGCTGTTAATTTTCAAGAATGCATTTTATCCCAAAAGAATTCTTAAAATATCTTAATTCAATAAAAATCATTAGAAAAGTGGCTTGTTTCTGCTTAATCATAATCATTGGGTCATCATATTTAATAGCAATATATCATACTTTATAAATGTTGACAGTGGAGTAGTATATATTATATAATTTCAAATGCAGTGTACACATTTTTTATGTTTAACAATGTCAATCATTTAAATCTTCAAGTAATTTTAAAAGCAATTTTAAAAGTATCATTTTTATATGCTTTGTAAGATTCATGTGTACTCACTATATTTTTGTTTTGATATCTTTGCTGTATTTATACATTATAAGGGCCCATGGAAGGCCAGTCTGTTGACTATTTGGTTCATTGTATTGATACAAACAATATATTTGTATTGATTTAACTGTTTCCTGCCAATGTGCAGTGAATAGAATGAGTTATTATCATAAATTCTAAAAATGTGTAGTCTATGAGATCATATGAAACAAACTCCGAAAAAAGTGATGAAGGCCTTTGTGGTTCAATATTCAAAGTTTATTAGTTCATCTTCAGGAAATAGTAGTCTATGAACTTATGAATAGATAATCTATAAATTCATGTAATTTGTCCGTTTCGGTTATAGACTCGAAATCGACTGAATGAGCCAACATTTGGGTACCATTAGAAACTTATTGTTCTAATCGAGTGAATAGGCTGTTTTAGGTGATTATGTTGTAGTTCCTATGAAAAAATGCTTAAAACCTGAGAAATTTAGTGATTTCTTGCCCAGTGCAGCCATGTTTTGTTAATTGTTTACATCACTGGCATATACATCTGTGGTCATCTTATCTTTCAAGTTGAAACCAGCGAAACAATGGTTATACGATTAGTATGTTATCGAAAATAGATGAGTTGCACAGTGCTATTACTACAACCTAGTATAAGCATGTAATATACCCTTGTAGGTCCATGATATTTGGAGGTCTTCTGAGGGCTTAAGCATTCTAGTAAAATCATGTACAGTATATGATGAATTAGATCATCATGGTAAGCAGGCCCATAGCCAGGTTCTTCCAAGGGAGGTTCTATGGGCGTGTGGTCCAGGGTAGAAGCCACAGTGGGGGTCGGCGAAACCACCAAAGCCAGAGGATTTTTGTGCTTTATGGGGGTCTAAATAATGCTATAAAATCAGATATGTTTGAAAACATCTCAGTCTGAGTCTGGGTGGCTGGGTGGGTCTACAGGGCATTAGTTGGGTTGGAGGACTTGTTCAGGAAATTTGAAGAGGGGTTGTTGCCAGAAAAGAAGGGGGTTTGCTAGAAAAGAGGGTTCTCCTGAACCTATAAACCCACCCCTCCCCCTCTTGATTGCAAAGGAAGGTGGTGTTTAGTTTATGAGAGTGGAAGTTTGTCAAAAATGGGGTTGTCTGTAACATAGAAATACCCAGTTACACTACCAGATGATTTTTCTGCAAATTCTATTAAATTTACCTCTAAATTACTTAAATATAGGTATTTTTCACAATTGTAACTACTGTATATTTTGTATTGTATCCTGTATGGGAAAATGCTGAATTGTGAAATAATATTTAAATATAGTATTTCCCGGGGTCCCAAGTCTCCTGGAACTCCCGGGAGTCTCCCATAAATCAGTGTGGTCTCCTGCACAAAATCTCCCGGAAATTCACTTATTTCCCACAAATTCAGTAAAAAACAAATCTTTTTGTTTTATTTAGACAAAACTTTGGTTGCCGATTATTTTTTGCAGTCTGACAGTGCCATTTCTGGGCTTCTGAAGGTGCCTATTCTTAAAGATGTCATCACTTCAGCCACAATCATTGTGGGCCTGAGGTGGGCGTGGCCCTTCATTTGGTACCTACACTTTTTCCTCATAGTGCCCCCAATGTCATTAAATGAATCTCCCGGAAATCGGTTCTTCCAACTTGGGACCCCTGTATTTCTTGCCTCTTGATATGGTTCTGTCCCCTGAAGCAGCTTACATAGCACAGCATGTAATAATATGAAGTACCTACAGTTACTGTAAGCTTTATAAATATCCAACCCATCATAGAGAATGATCGTTTGTCTCACTGTCTTAATTATTTGTCTCTTAAAAGGTTGTGTCATATTTTCATCTTCGTTTAATACTCTCGCTCCGGGGAAAATATCAAAATGTACAGTATTGCAATTCAAATAAGAGATATTGATCGTAATGAAATTTTTTTTTTTTTAAATGTCATTTTGCTCAAATGAATATTAAGAAATATGAGACAATTTCAAAAAAATAGTGAAGTGAAGCACACAACGAAACATCAAGAATCGACTTTTTTAAAGACTTATTTTATATATTTATAAGTATTATTATAGAATGCTTCATATGCAGACCTGTGTCATTGTGATTGATGATGTCTTGACTGTTAATTTCTCAAATTCAGACTTATGTCTACCTGTTGGGATATGTCGTCAGATGAGGATCGGCCTGGGTCTCAATGTTTAAAGAACAACTGGCGGGAGGAAGCGATAGAAAATATTCTCTATTCGGGAGGAAATGTTTCCCGTCAGCAAAGACTCTTCAGACAATAAAAACCTTTTTTTTTTGTGTATAAAACACATCTTAGAAGAGAAAAAAAATTTCCCAAAACGACAATTTCTCTGGGGGTTTACTTCTTGTTGGACCTCTTTGTCAGACAATTTTTTACCACCATTCTTTTGTATGTATCCTATCCTAGAGCCACCACTAATTGCAATTACAACCTTCCCCCCCCCCCACCATCCCATTAACAAACATAAATTTTCAAAAATTACTCAATTTACTGATGTTATATTTTCTTTTTGAACTGCAATTTTATGATGACCTGTTCTCATCTGGCAAAGCACAAAATAAGGCCATTCTCTCCCCACAAATTTGCAGTCTGATGGAATTATAATTTTTGCTGGCATAGGTGTGGCTTGGGAATTGAACCATAAAATATGTCCTCATTCTAATTTTAACAATTTGTTCCTGTCACTTCAATTTGTCATTAAATTAAAGTTCAAACTTTCACTGTTTTGATCCTCTGAAAGGGTGAAGCTCAGACCTCTTTCACCATTCCACTACTTGATGGGCCTGCAAGCAGCTATTAGTATTAGTATTACCCAGCATTCAATCAAGAGAAAATTGCCTATCATCAAAGTTTAAACCCCAGAAGACCACCGTCTTCCTCTATCTTTTGAGCTGGATAAATAAAGAATTAATGCCCTAGCTCGATGATTGAAACACCTAATACGAATGGTCTAATATTTTCACTAAAGCATTACCAAATATAAGAAGTCAATGCAGATGTTAAACATTCCTCTACATAATCTTTATTCTTTTGACATCACGGTCAAAGAATTTTCTTTATCAGGAGGTAATCAACATCTAACAACCTGCGTGTTCCCCTTGGGATTCTGTTCACAGAAAGGTTACATGTTTATGTCAAATGTTATTATTTTACAATAATTTTGAGCACAGACACACAAGAGGCATTTAAATCAGGTTAATGGATTCCCTCCTTTATTAAACTGTGAATATCTTCAAAATAGATATAATTTCATTAAAAAAAAAAAATTCAATTGGTATTTTCAAGTATATTTAGCTGAAAAAAAATTAACTGTGCAAATATGCAAATTAGCGTAGTTTCTTATATTTATTTTATTTAAGGAAGACGTTAATCTCTGTAATGATATAAACTTGACTGCTGAGTCCTTGAAAAGTAATTCCAAAATGTCATCACTCACTCACTGCTTAAAATGTTGCCCTGGTTTTACAAGCAAGAATTTATTCATGGCTATTTAATTTCTTTCTATTTATTGGATTCTATTTTAATCAATTTGGTATTCATTGATATGTGCAAGGCACCAAAAATATATAAAGTGTGATTACAGTATTACATTACACCTAAGCTCCATAATCTTAGGAAGAATTGTCTTTATTTTTATGCAAATGAATTTTAAAAATTTGATTAAAATTTCTGTTTTTTTATTATTGCTGTTTTTTGCATTCTGTTTTTATTAATTAGATATTCTTCAATCGATACATCAACAATATATAAAATAAGATTAGATTTAATTTTTAATAACAGTAGTAGACATGTTTGTTTTGTTTATTGCTCTTTATTTATTACAATCTTTTGAAATAATTTTAATTAATAAACCAATAACAAGAAATATTAAAATGTGCTTTTATGATAAGAGATAAAAAATTCTTCATTTTAAGGGAAAATTAATATATTTGACATGGAGGATTCTTGTAGCAACACAATGTCCTTCAAAAACTAATTGATTAAAAATAACATCTAGATTTCGCACTTCGCAAGAAACTTCCTGGAATACACACGCTGATTAATGAAAGCTTACAACAGCGTGGTTAGACGCCCTCGCTAGCCTACGAGATCTCTGTCAAGAGAAGGATATAAAGTTTCCTGGTTCTGTAGCTGGAGCGTAGAGATTATTTGCCAAATACTTTATAATAAATGTTCAAAAATAGAGTGTTTACTTGGTGGTTTGAGGGCGATGTCATCATGATGAGTTCAAGTGAACCTTTTTCTGTTTGAAGCACTTTTCAGCGAGTCTGCTTCAAGTCTTTTCAAGTTTATCAACCTACTGTTCAACTACCACCAAATGTAATGTTTAAAATGTCAATTTGTTTATGTGTTGCATTATTTTTCTTTTTCTTCAGATTGCACTGGAAATCAGATTTTGAATAATCATCTACTTGACTGGACAATTTTATTTACCCAGAGAGCATTCCTGACAAACAAATTTATTTTCTGCTGCAAAAAAAAATCACCATTAATCCCATCTGTCTGGGAAAATACCTGTACAGGTCTGGTTTGGAAGATACATTTTGAAGTCAGTTTGGGCCTTGTCTGTAAGATAAATGTATAGTTGAAAATGACAGCGTTTGACTAGTGTAGTTGGGATAAACCAGGCTAACGAAATTCTACGAAGCTGGAGTAACTAGAGGCTAACCAAACAAAATGGCGCATTTTTCAAAGGATTCAGGGAAACTCAAACTATTTGTCATTCTGTTTGTTGTGGTTACACATGCCTCTTATGGAATCACATTAAATAAAGATGTCTTCAGTCATCCATGTAAGTACAAAACCATTTTTAGAAAACATTTTTTATTTGCTGGATTTCCATCTAAACTAATTCTTCTTCTGTTAAACAGATAAAATAGCATAGGGATTGATAGAATGGTGCTCAGACAATTAGTGGCAGCCATTGCGTAGAGCCAGATTCAAACAATTGCTTCACGTTTCTGTGTGAGTTGCGTAGGATGAATGGGAATTAGAACGATTGCTAACAAAAAATCGTGAATAGAGTAATAATAACATCATAAATAATTCAATAAAAAAAAAGAACAATAAAGAATGAACTGAAATCAATTTGGCATAGTTACCTAAACTAATTTTGGACAATAATGGTATTAAGCAATGGATTATGCAATGAAAACTATATATGATATAGATAAATGATACCGGTATGTGAGATTTTAAACTAAAAATTACTTATTATTCTTATTACTCTGCTTGTCTTTTATTAGTGTCTATCTTTTTGTTTACCATAAATACTGTATTTCTGTCTTTTTACTGAATAACTATTTTAGTAAATTACTGAGGAGTCAGTTTCTTTTATAAAAGTAAATGAAATCTTTAAAAATAATATTAAAAAATATACAGAAATAATATACTTTTCAAGCTGCTTTCCATTATGTGTATTTGCTATAATAAACTAATGCTACAGTAACATTATAATACCAGCCTACTTTCTGTGTTGTCGTTTAACATGTGTAGGCCTGTAAATTAACCTCGTCGTTAACAGAATAGGTCAACAAGATGTGATTGGTGTTACCTCTTCCGGCTTTAATTCTAGCAAAGTAGCCTACAGACTCCCATATCTTGCAATTCATGTATTCTTTTACAGAGAAATCACAGGTGCACTGATTGAGCAAATTTATTATTGCGTAATGTAAATACTGAGAAAGTGAATCGTAGTTAAATTCCTATTAAAACATACGTGATGAGAGACTGGATTGACGCCCTCGCAACATTACACCTTCGATCATGCGGCAGCTGAGGGTGTCGTTAATCTGGATGCTTGACATTTGTTTATTTCAAATGCACTTGGGTTTGTAAAGTTATATTTCGTTAAATTCAAATGGGTCTTTATATACTGTACCAATTGTATCATCATGTGGTTGTTTGAGAAATCTTGTGTGTAAATGGCACTTTTTGTTTCTGTATTCCTCTTTCCATCTGGTTTATCATGAATTTAACAATTTAATATTAACTTCAGTAATAACATTTAATGATAATTCTGCCTTAATTCATAGCTAATACATGTCACAATCAACCATTATTATGGTTATGTTCTTTATATGAGGAGCTATGGCTTTGTGGGTATTATGCTTGCCTCTAAATCCAAGGTCCTGCTGTAGGTTCAAATCCTCTCAGACACAGGCATTTTTTTTCTCACAATTTTCCATCCCCTTTTACAAGTGTTGATGAATTTAAATGAAATTAAACCAAAATGAAATTTAACCAAAATTAAACCAAAATCTGTTAATCATGTTTGTATTGGGAGCAAATTTTATAAAAATAAGATAAATAATATTGTTGATTAATGTATGTTCGTCTTGATGCTCTACTTGTGCATTACACCTATATCATGGCATTTGATCTTTGATCACATTTGCTCATATTATTATTGATTGTTAATAAGCAGTTCAACTTTATTTTAGTAATTTCAACATGTTGAATGTGATCCACAGCCAAAGCTTGTACTGTAATATTATGCAAGACCCTCAACAAAATAGCAATTAAAAGACAATAGAAAAAGATTATTTTGCTTTGAATACAGTTTTCAATAATCATCTGTTTAAATCATTCTGTTTTTTTAATTTTATAATTCTATCTATATTTTTATCATTTGATGCAAGCCCACATAGTAGTACAATGCAATTCAATTTAACACCACTCATCTTGCAATGTCATTCAGGATATGCAATTAAAGTCTTCAGAAATTCCACCGAATTGTAGCTCAAATGCGACTACTGTATACCAGTTGCCTAAAATATAAAAAACCGTAGAAGCCATTGATCTGAATAATACAGAAAAAAAAATCACTAAGTGTCAATTGTGTGATGTTTTAAACTGTCGTCTACCACACAGAAAAGAAGTGGAGTGCCTGAAGACAGACGATCAGTATCTGTTAGATTTCCTTTTAACCCAAGAATAGGCCTACAGTACATTTTACTACACAAAATGCCTACAGTGTTAAGCCTTCAGTATAAAGTGATAGAATACAGTCTACAGGTAATCCTCTATGGTTTCCGATATTATTAATTATTTTGGAATATTTTAGATTAATTAATTGATGGATTAATTAATTAAACAAACAACATTTTAATCAGTTTTACATTGCAAAATTTAGAGGGTATCTCATTTTTTTTATGCTGTAATATATTTTATATTTTTTGGTTGAACACCTGTCTAAATCTCAAGGAAATATTCATGATCATTTCATAATTGTTTTCCTGTAAGTAACCTTCAAAGCTAATGAGAATTCAAAATCTCTTTTTCTTTCAAAAATAATAAACATTTTCTCATCTCAAAATAATCTTCTTTTTTAATTGTCTGCCTGTAAACTTTAATAACAAGTAAGTCTTTATATCCCAAAATAACTTTCTTGCTTCGTTCGTAATTATACTCCTTTTCATTTCATAATTCCATGGCTGATATTTGTCTGCACGTGAGGGGTTATTGGTCTGTGCTATGTAAAACTCATTTCACATGACACAAATAGAAATTAGAAACAAATGCAAATTGTTCTCCTTTATGGAACCCAATATTCTTATAATTGGATTTAATTCAGAAACAAGTCATCTATTGTACTCCATTTGCTTTTTTAATGCTCTTTTTATAAAGCTGTAATACTTTCAGTAACAATACTTTTTTTGGATTGTGGTAAAGAAAAAAAAATCATAAGAATTTCATCTCTAATCTGACCATGACATTTCTGTAGGCCTTATAGTGCGGTATTCACATAATCAGAGGAGTTTATCTTAGGACACTGCCACATGCCGCAGGCTGTGAGTACCTGGTTTAGCTAGCAGACCGCCTTTAGCCCTGGGGCCTACAGTGATCATTCACAACAACAGTAAACCCCCAAATTATTACCACCTTTATTTCAGGATTTCTATGATCAGAAATTTAATTTTCATGATCAGAGTGGTCGAGACAAATAATGTGTCTGATCTAATATAAAATAAAAAGGATGTAAATAATTGAAATTAATGCAATTTAAAGCCAATAATTTGCAGAAGATGTTTTGAAATTTTAGCTATAGCAATTGCCTAAAGGACAGAACATGTGTATGGAGGGTGCACTAGCTTCAAATTGTTTACCTGACTCCATGTGACATAATTTGGTCTGAATGCGTAAATAATTATGAAAATTTTGAAATAATTTCAAAATATGTAATGGCCATTTAGATGGTAATGTAGAGTACCGTTACCTTTTGGGCTTGCTCATACAGGGCTGAGAATAATTGTATTTTTAATGAGCCTATTTTTTTATAAGTGTGGATCCCAGATTCATTGGGTCTGGCGTCAACCTTCCATCTGTCCCCTCAAGGGAGCGGGGAGGTTGGGTCATCTCAACACTGCTCTCCACTCTCCCTTGTCACCAACTCTGTTCAGATCAACCACTCTACCGTTGTCTCTGTGAGAGCAAGAAAAATCTACAAAACATTATAGAGCTAATTTTATTTCAATTTATTTTAAATAAACCTTAATTGTGACCTTTAATCATTAATAATTAGCAGTGAATGTCTTAATCTGTGTGGCTTGAAATATGCCATTTATTCATTAGATGTTGGAATCTTTTATAAAAGTTCTTCAATCAGGCTGTCCTTCTACCAGGCTTTTGTTGTTCAGTTAGTAGTGATCACTGCTGAAGGTAATGTATTTGATTGAATGTCACAATTTACACGCTTCCAAATGAAATCTAATCTAGATTGTGCAATTTTCTTTTGAGGATTTCACCATGCTTTATAAACAGGGACAGTAACATATCAGGCCTGAGGGTGAAGTGTGGGCATAGGTATCAACTTTGTGCAGGGGTTTTATCACATGTGATCTGTTGAAAATAAAATCATATTTTTCAGCAATTCCAACTGACTGATAAGGTACTATTCTCTCTTAAGACACGATAAGCAAACTTGTGTGCATTTGTTTTTAACATTCCCCGTATAATTTGGGATATTACTGTACGCTTTATGTAGTCAGAAATATAGGATACTAAAGAAGAAATTCTAAAAAATAGGGAATGTCAAAAGTAATTCTTAATAAACCAAACCTACTTTATGATGCTTTAAAGAATAGTATCTTTGTTTCTAGGTTAATATTTAATAAACATTTGTGTTTTTCTCACATCTTATTACTGTTTATGTTAATCCCAGTTTTAATATTTTCCATGAAATTTAATGTTGTTTATATTACATGTGCTTGCTCTCATTGTTTTGAATTTTTAAAGTGACAAGTTAAAGCCTCATTCCCGGCAAAATTTTACAAAAAAAATGATTTTTTATAGAAAAAATGCATATGCATTACTCTAATTATTAAAGACCATGGAAAAATATTGGCATAAATTTTAGTTTTATGCAAAAGGATAAAAAAATGAGAAATAGAGATTATTTCTCATAGGAGATTACCGTTTTCTCGTTGACCTCTTCGTTACTAGGCAAATTCAGAGGTTGTAGATCGCATCCTCTGGAATACTCTCACTTTAGTGTATACTTTTATACAGTCAATAAAATGCGCCTTCTCTAATGATATTAGTTTTTTGTACTTCGCATCTTGCACACTGCGATCGATCGAGTAGTCCTGAAATATGATTGTTTAATTGTCAAAATCTCGGTCAGAATCATTTTTTAAACAAATTTGAAATAATTCTAATGAAATATTATATTTCACAAGTGTCAATACTAGCATGTCTGCCGTTTTTATGTCTGATAACAAAACTTAAATCGAGGTAAGGCTAGGCCTAGCCTAGCTGTGTTGGATAGGCTAATGTTTCCGGCGCCTACTACTATATTTCTTTGCAGACCTATCGCAAAATTTATTTTTTGTGTGAAACACAAGAAATCAAATTTCGGTCTTATTTTACATTTTTTCATGTTTAGGAATGTCTAAATTCAGTTAAACTAGCAATTTCATATTATATTTATAAATCTTTATAACATACTGTATGAAAATCAGATTTTTCTTAAGAACTGAAATTTTGCTGGGAATGGGCCTTTAAGTCTACTGTTATGGTTTAATACACTACTGCACTTTGGATTATTTTCAAGGGTGCCTATTGATCAGCCCATTGAGCTGGAATGTTCATAATCCTCATAAAATATGCTGCCAATAAAAAAAAAAAAATAACAATTTTTAAGCAATAATTTTTAAGCCTATGTTTTTAATACTCACTGCACTTTGGATAATTTTCCATGGTCCCCTATCGATCAGCCCATGACTTGCCTCTGAGCTGGAAGGGTCATTGATCCTCATAAATATGCTGCTAATAAAATAAAATGATAAAAAAAATTTTAAGTAATAACTTAAGCCTATGTTATAGTACTGCACTTTAAATTATTCTCCTGGGTCTTCTCGATTACCCTCTTGACTTGTTTCTGAGCTAGAAGAGTCATGATCCTCATAAAATATTGTGCTAATAAAATAAAATAAATGATAAAATTTAAATAGAATTCCGGTAGTAATAATGGTACTGGTATTTGAAAGATTTGAATCCCGAATCATGACATTGGAAGGATGGCACCCTAACCACCAATTCACAATTTTGCTGGTTCCATATACATTTTAAAAAGAAAAGTTTTGTACTGTATGTCAGGAAAATCATCTGATGTTTTATTTATTCTGTTTCTGTAGTAAGTTTACCCTTCTTGTAGAGTACCCAAATTTCAGTAGCTATGGTAACCTGCAATGCAATAATATTACATACTCATTGACATACTGTAGCGTTGGTAAACGACTTAAGCAAGTACAGTATATCAACACCATGTCTAGAATCAGGACTTTGTTGACACTTTCAGTATCATTTTATTTTCATGCTTAAAAATACAATTTACAGTAAAAGTGTACATCAAGTGGAAAATTGAAATGAAAATGTAAAAATGGAATAATTGTTTGTATAATTTAGTACAGTACATGTATGTTAATTAGTATAACCCTTATCATTTTTTGTAAATATTCTCACAATAAGGGCCTGTTATATAATATTCAGTTTCACCGCTAACAATAATTTCTTTTAAATATTGGTAGTTAAGTAGGAAATGAATAATTTTAATCATAATGATATACAGTAATGGTTATAGAAAGTGTACCAGTATATTTTTTTAAATTTTAAAAACTAAAGCTAAACTAAAAAAATAAATTAATGCCAAGCAGAAAATAAAATTTAACAATGATATAAAATATATTAACACAAAAACCACTAATACAGACCTTATTTAAAATAATCAACTATGTCAAAAATAACATGTTCAATATTAGGCTCAAAATAATATAATATGTTCAAAAAGTAGCTTTCCTCATAATATTTTGAAAAAAAGGAGAATGATGGCACTGTTTTTTTAAAACTCCGAAATGGCAAATCCAAGATGGTCGATGGGAAACAGAACTGTGCCACACTCTCACTTTTACCAAGTAGACACATTGAAAGAAAATAAAAGAAGCACTAGACATGATTCATACCATATGTATCCGAAGCAACCTTGATTATGCAGCGTTTATTCGACTGGTCATCTTCGTTAAGTAGGATTTTACCAGTGCACAGGTGGGCGTGGTTTAACGAAAAACGACCAGTAAAATCCGGCCATTGTCATATGAAAATTTTTAGTTGATTAAGGCGAGTGGTGTCCCCGAACCATGATGGCTTTCCAGAGATTTCTGTCCTTCAATTCGGTCTTAAGGCAAGGCGATATATTAAATACCTTGCTTGAGGTCTTAACAAAATACTAAACAATAATAACAAAAATTCACCTTGCCTACAGTAAGTCTGAAAAGCATTAATTTGTAAATATAAATCTGTATTGAAAATGAAATGAATTTACATTAGATACAGTAAGTTTGTAAAAAGTAATACAGTACATCAAAATACATGGGAACGGTAGTTGTGATTTTATCTTTGGTTTTCATCTCACTAGCTCCAACTGTCAATCTTCTTACTGGGTCAAGTGTTTGGGTACAAGTACAAATCTACAAACCAAACAGGTACATCAAAACACACAGGTACAGCAAAACACACAGGTACAGTACTCAAGTACTGTATGTTTTCCCTTTGACCAAAGAGAACTGCAAGAGGTCCGACTGTCATGGTTTCTTTTGAA